GACATACCATCAGCATTATAACCAGTGAAATCATAGCTCAAGTCCAAATTCACAAAGACAACAGCTAAACATGAAAACACAGAATTATGCCAGCAGCAGATAACAAGAAATTATAAAAAAGGAGTACCAGGAACAAACGACAAGAGTGATAAAGCACACGTAACCCCAAAGAATGGAGAATAACTCAGCCCTCAACAGGAAAAAAAACAGTCCAGTTGTCCATCCAACCAATAATAAGGATAAAACACCTCCAGCAAGAACCACAAAAGAGCAGCCAGAAACCAAATACAAGATGGAGCAGAACCTCCACACCACAAATAGCCCAGCCAACATAAAAATTGATCTAGAAGGAACAAGAGTAAACCAGAACACCACAGAAAACTAGCAGGGAGACCAAGAAGCCCAGAAAAATAAAATGACCAAGCAAAATGACAAGCAAAGAAAGTAAACCAACTAGAACATCAGCCAAGAGACAATAAAAGGTACCAATGCTCTCATCATAATGACCAAATAGGCAAAGAGAAATACTAAAATAAATTCAACCCTGGTCAAAACCTGGAGACCAGGAAGCACAGAAGAAACCAAACCGAGCCATTCAAGATCCTAGAACTGCACAACCACAACCTGCACCTCAACAAACGCCTAGGTAGGGAAATAGAATGAAAACACCCTAGCAATAGCTTAAAGACAACCAACTAAACCACCTGGTAATCCAACAGATAGAGACAGAACAACCAACACGAAAGAATCGAACCAGAAAAAGGCCACCTAATAAAACCCAACAAGAACTCAAAAAGAATTCTGCCAACCAACACTTCAAACTTAGAATAATATCAAAAACATAGAATATAGAGTAAGAAGTATAGAAAAGCATAATACTAAAGTTCCAACAATCATAGCACTCCAACTAATCACACAACAAAACCAAATTAAAAAGTAGTTTATGAAAACAAACCACACAATTAGCAGAACCTCAACTCCATATAACCCCAACTCAATAGCATAACCACACAACCAAGAGAACCCCATCAGTCCTAACCAATAGTAGAAGAATAACTAAAAAACTAAATTCATCTAGCTAACTAAGTCCAACAAAAACTGGCTGACTGCAAAAACATCCAGACGATTATAACCTAGCAAAAACAATCAGAACATAAAAAGGGCCCAAAAGAATATAAACTAGATAGAACCCCTCCAGCCTAATTAATACGCACTGAAACCCAAGTAGATCCAAGGTACAGGTTATGCTCAACATAACAAAAAATAACTCCAAAAGCTTGGTATAGATAAAAAGACAACAATAAGAGTACAACAAAGAACACCAGGATAACCCAACCAAACAATGGAAAGAGAGGCAAATAAAATTAGAAAATATCATAAAAGAATTACCCCGTTAAAGCCAATGAAAGAAACAGACAAAATCCATTAGGACAACCATTAGGGTAAAATTTAAAATGAAGACCAAAATGAATAAGAAAATAACAAGACCATTACTACAAGAAATAAAAATAGAAAGAAATTGCCCCCACTAAGATAAAGAACAGAAACAAGACACAAAAAGCCCAGAAAATACCATCAGATAGTAGAAATAATAAAGGAATCAAGTCTTGCTTAAGTAAGAAAAATCAGAATGATCTAAAGTAGTTAGACCTTTCAATATATGAGGCAGATTAGGCCCAACAAATTCAAAAATACCCTCCAAATTATAGCCAAAATTAGAAAGCTAATCAACAAAACTAGTGTCTTCAAGAAATATATGAGGTATTAAAATTAATGGAAGAAAGGTTCTTCTTAATCTCCCTAATCAAATAAAAATTCTCAGAATTATATTTTAAACTACCAGTAAAATAATGAATAAGGACATTTGCATTAATCTTAATACAAACATCAATAATACATAAAGAAATGCAAAGGTTAATACCCTCGTTAAGATCTTAAAGCTCAATAATGATAGCCGACATAGCTTGCAAGGGACCAGCAAAGGCACAAACTACTCTACCCTTATGATCCCTAATTAGACCACTACAACCAGTAGTTGAATAACTAAAGTACCCATCAATATTCAATTTAAACCAGACTTAAATAGTTTTAGAACATCTAACAGTCCCCTCCTTACCATTCTGAGATGGGAACTAAAGAGATATACCGAAACCACCCTCAACATGATTGAAACCTTTAAAATAACAAACATTGATTAGCTTAACAACATAACACTGCAAAATTTTATCTTTAATTTTGAAGATAATATGCAAAGCATTCATATTGATATCCTCATTCTTAGAGTCATTCCTAGCCATCCAAAGATACCATATTCTGAGGATGGGAAGAGCATTCTTAACATTCCCTTTGATATGAAAAAACCAAGCTTGAAGAATAGTGATAATACTACTATAATTATTACAAAAGCTCTTATTAAACTGCTCATCAAAATATAACTAAACCTTAACCATAATGGGGCCATTAATAAAAAAAATGATTGAGAGACTCTATGTGAGAACAACACTAACATCAAAAAATAATATAAATACATTTTTTCATTAAAATATTATCAATAGGAAGATAATTATGTACTAAAATTTTTCACATTAAAATAGAGTAAAAAGAAGGTACACCCTTATGCAAAATAGCAGATAATAAAGAAGACTTAGCTTGACATTCTCTAATAGAATTCCAAACCTCTTTAACAAAAAATTTACCCTTATTCGATTTAGTAACATAATATAATAATCTTTCTCCAAATATAATGAAATTTTAAGAATTAGATTAAGAAAAGTGTCAGGCATAACATCTTGTAACTTATCAACATTCCACTTCCCATCCCTAATAAAGCTTTTAACTTTGATAGCATATGTATAATGAGTATTCAATAGATTATTAATAAAAAAGTTGCCCACTCATTGGTCTTGCCAAAAGAAACAATCACCAATGCCAATCCCCTAATGGATAAACTTGTTAGCCTCCCATTTAATAACACAAAGCCTCTTTCAGATATACAAAATACAACCCCCCCCCCCCCACCCCCGGCGCCCTTTTTCTTAAATAACAAGTTAAAGAATATTTACCACTACAATACTTCCTAATCATAAACTTAGCCCACAAGATTTTCATAAATCTCAGAGAAAACCAGAGCTTTAAGAAAAAGCCTGCACCATGTCAACCAAATTCTTACAACCTAAGCTACCTTTATCCACTATCCCATAACACTTCTTCCAAGAAGCTAAAAGGATCATCATAGATATTCCATCCTTAATCCCTTAGAAAAACTTGTTAAATAATCTTTACATTTTAATACACACTTTCAAAGAAGGATTTATAATATAAAAAAAAATAAATATGAAGGGAATAAAGCATGATTTATATTAAAACTAATATATCATCAAAAGAAAGAATATTAAAAGCCCAAGTTGACATCCTTTTCTAAGTAGATAAGAAAATGTCACCAAATAAATGGGACCTTTTCTTACCTCTAAAGAGAGGAGTCCCCAAATATTTTAAAGGAAGAGTCTTAGGAGAAAACAAAAAATTAGCATGAATAGTGCAGATTCTCTAATTAGAAATAGAATTGGTAGCTATCAAATGACTCTTATCTTGGTTTATATTTAAACAACTAAACCTTTGAAATTGATTAAGAAAATTAAAGAGAATGTTGAGCATTTTAGTAGATCCATTAGAATAAATAATAAAATCATCAGTAAAGCTTATGTGAGAAAAGGGAAACCAACCAAAGTGCCATACTAGAGGTTAGGATGGTTCAAATAAAGCTCCTCAAGCTCCGTAGAAATATATTACACAACAACAATGAAAAGAGTAGGAGATAAAGGATCATACTGCCTAATACCATAAGAAGATTTAAAATAACCATGACCTTTACACTTAATAATAACAAAAAAGAAGCAATTATGAATGATATTTTTGATAAGTTTGATGAATTCAGCTTTGAAACCAAACAAAAACAAAATCCTAAAAAGGAAATTATAATTCAATTTATCAGAAGCTTTAATGATAATAGTTTGAAAAATCATATTCCCACCATTAACAAGAGTGTTAATATTAGACCTATCAATTTCGGGTTACGGGTCGAACCCGACCCGACCCGTAACTGACCCGGATTTATTCGGGTTCGGGTCAACCCGACCCGGATTTATAAACGGGTCGGTTTTCGAAACCCGGAACCGACCCGTCTCGGGTTCGGGTCAACGCGACCTGACCCGGTTATCCGTTTATACAGTAATTTTAATTCTAATTTCAGGAAAAAAAAGAGAGGTAAAGTGCAAACAAAAAAGTGAAAAACTGCAAAGCAACAATTATACATTTAGAGAAATAATAATTTACAAATTATCCAATACTCGAATTACAAACATCATTTACACATTTGTTTTAGTTACCAAATTACAAACTCAATTCAATTTTAAAGATTTCCAACATTTTAACATCCAAATCGCTCCCCTCGTCTGAGTCTTCTCCTCGAAATACTAGCTTCAAATATGTAATGACCTGAAATAAAATCAATTCTATAGTTTGCAAAATCAAATATGTAAAAAAATACATTGCTCTGCTCAGATTAAACCTTCAGATTCATTAATCATTTAACCTCATAATGAGATCATTGCGACGTAAGTTTAATCAATATTGTCATATTGACAAATTACCATCCTAGGTGACAATTTATATTAACTTAATTAATATCTATTCTTCGAATAAGATTGTAAGATAGTATATTCTATTCTAAGTTAATAAAAATTGTCACTTGGTTGTAATTATAATAGGACATAAGATGATTAGAACTTGCACTTATAAGATTCCCACTTACATCTTAGAAGGTTATTCATCATCGCTTCATTGCAATTTTCATTTTTCAACTTCCATAATCGGATAATCCAAACAGAAGCACTGAACTACTGAAGCACAGAAGCAGCATAATAACCCGCAGCCATAATGCCCACACAGGCACACAAAGCCTCAGCCAGTCAGCCCTCAGCCCTCAAACCCGAGAACTGAACCAAATGCCCACACAAAGCTTGCAAAGTCCCTTAGCCAAATGCAACGGGTTACAGTCTTACAGAATACAGACTTACAGCATTTTGAACTAAACAAAATTTTGAACTTAACAGAAGCAGCATCAGGCCCTCAGTCCTCAGGCCCGAGAAACCAAATAAACGGCAGCAGCATAATAAGTTAATAACACAGAAATACATAACCAGTGAACCAGTGAAGTGAGTGAACCACAAATGAACAGAACAACAACAGAATGACAGAAATACAGAACCAGTGAACGGTGAACCACAGTCCACGAATGAACAGAATTACAGAACAACCACTGAACAGAACAACCACAGAAATACAGAACCAGTGCATAAAACAAATTTTACAAGCAGCAGAACAGATTAACTCATTAACAATTTAACAGTTAAGTGGAATACTGGATATAATTAAAATGTTTAAATAGATTCATCGAATAACTGAACTTTCAGTCATTTCTGCATCAGTTTGGGTGACATGTAAATCAAGGATATCATCCGTAACTGCATCTATTTCTGTGTCATGAACTACTGCAATAAAAAAATATGAATATGAGCTATAGAAAGTAAAATTACTAAAACAGAAACCGTAAGCTGAAAAGAAATTAAGAGGGTTGAAGAATAAAGCACCCTGTTCCGCATACAACCAATCCTTTGAACATACAAGTGCCTCAACAATGTCATGCTTAAGAGAACTTCGATATTGATCTAGTATTCTACCACTATAATTGAAACTACTTTCTGAAGCCACTGTACTTATAGGAATGCACAAAACATCACGAGCCATAGCAGATATAGCAGGAAACCTATATTGATTGCCCTTCCAGAATTGCAAAATATCTAAATCAATCTCCGCATCTAGATTAGGCTCATCCAAATATAATTCTAACTCTGATTTCCGAGGCATTCCAATCTCCGAATGAAATGACTGAAAACCCTGTTTGGAAGTTAATGTTTTAAAAA